CAAGGCCCTGGCTCTGGTCTCCCTCCTCTGTCCGGGGCGAGGTTTTTGAAGCTGATATATGAGGAGGGGGAGAAGCGTATCGGGGCAGAACTCACGAAACCCCGCAGTCGGGTCGTGGGCCGTTTTACACACGTTTATTTGTTTTTAGTGCAAGGCATGCATTACTTTTGAGATGCGGACAAGGCCTCTGTGCTGCTGGGGTCTGCCCGGCATAATGTAGCCGGAGATGCGGGGCGAGGATGGAAGAGGAAGTTCTGTCTCCATTGGGCATTCCTCAGATGTTTTTAAAATTGCAACAGCGAGCGCGGCCTACTGCTGGGAACCAAGGAATGCTGGGGCAGAAATGCAGAGCCCACCCTACACAGACCGACGCGGGCCTGACTTGGCCACAGATGGAACATGCGCTTTTTTTTTTTTTTTAGGTCATAAATTATTGTTCACATGCAGGTTAGAGACTGCATGGCATCATGGGACTTAAGCATGATTTGGAAGTGATGTAAAATACTAACTTGTCACTGTTTGCTATGCATTGCCAGTATGTACACAATCATAGTTAAGCTTTGTGGGTGTGAGGCAGAGCTGCCTGTTTCCTGTTGAGTGATTATGGCTAATGTTTTGTTTTTTAATTTAGAGGAAGCCCCTGCTTTTCACATTTACAGGTTTGTTTTACAGTGTTTTTCTTTGATATGGTAACTCTGGGAAAATACCATGAAGCTGCTTGGGTAGGAAGCACATAATCACTAAGACTCATCAGTAATGTGAGTGGTATCACTGCCTCCTTTGTGCTTTTTAAGAGACTGTATTAATTAAAATAACAGTAAGAAAGTAAGTTGTCTAGAGTAATATGTTAACATTGAAATGGAACCTTAAAGAAAATATTTAGGATTGGAGCACCACATTCATGCATTGCTTTTTCTAGACCTTTTCCTTTTAAGACCAGTGCTCATGCATGGTTCTTCTCTCTTACTTGCCTCCCTTTGCTGTGCATGTGCTGTGCTCTTAAGTCACAGAAGTGTAACAGGGCTTTTACAGACACAGAAATGTGACTAGTTTTGATGCACTGCTGTTCATTCCCAGTAATAATATATATTGTGTGTCACTGGTTCAAATACCTTATCAAAACGAAGTCTGTAAAACTTAGGAACATGGAATACTAATTGAAAGACAGAACAGTGGCATACACTTCGCTTGGTCTACCTGCAGGTGCTATGGCTGTTTTTTTGTTGTTGTTGCATTTGTTGTTAAATTCTGTATTTGGTAGAAGTGATATAATACAGATACAGTTTCCTGAATAAGAGCAATGCAGAAATGTATTCAATTGTTATGGTGGAAAAGAGGATTCCTTCAGTTGGTAACTTCTGTTTCTAATGATGAAAATGGAATCCTCTGGGATTGTTGATTACAGAGGGAGTGATGCTTCTCCCTGGGAGCTTCTGGGAGGGGGTTTCCAGCCACAGAGGTGAGGATGTGCTGCAAACAAAGCATGACACAGAGAACAGGCTCTTCTGGACCTGCTGTTGTTCGATAGAATTGGGTGATTCATACCACTTTGATAGTGTAAGCTACCAAAACCAAAAAACTGCTATATCCTGTTTGGAATATAGTGAGGAAATTTTTAATTTTCACATGACTTCCTTGTTTCTCTGTGTGCAAGATACTTTGAGAAGTTCTAAGTCTTTTTATTATTATTAATGTGTCTCAATACTTGACTGTGACATTTCTTGGTGGGCTTTTGTAGTTCTTTTTGTAAGAAATCACAAATATTGGTATCTTACTCAGATATTCTTGGTGTTTCTCTGTCTGCTTTAAGTCTGAAAATGTGACTTCAGAATGCTAGTGTTGTTGAGACCATTTCCAGCACTTAGAAACCTACTTAAGTCTTTACCGCTTTCTGTGGTTCCTTATTAGGTTATTAAATTTTAAAACCTATCAGTTCCTATTAAGAAGCTCCCAGTCTGACTGTTCCTAACAGTTCACTTCTTGCATCCTGACACGAACAAAGGAAATGACCCATTTTCCTTCCCCTTTCTTTCTCTCTCACTGGAATATTTTTCTTAGCAGAAGGTGGTAGGATGGCATGTTCCCGGCCTCTGTATTTGTAGAGGAGGCAACCACAACTGAACTTAGTGGTAATCTGTTCCCTTCAGTTGCGGAACAGCACAGTGTTTAGGACAGGAGTTTGTTTGGATCCGAAATGAAACTTTGTTATGTTATGCACTCATTTGAACATTGCTATACTGTAGCATAGTGTCCCATTTTTCTGCTAGATCTGCTAAATGAGGCACACAGTTATTTACAAATAAAGCTTCACTGCTTTTTGCAAGTTAATGCAATTGTATCTTATCTATTCCTTTCTCTCTGAAATACTTTGCATGTGGTGCTTTGCTTATGTCATAGTGGTTGAAATAGTCCTTTGAAAATCTGAAAGAAAATCTGAAGAAAACAGGACAATGGCTTGCTCTATTTTTCCTTAGTTATTATCTTTTTAACTTTTGTTATGGAAAACTGATGAAAAAGGAAGCATTACAACTTCCAGATGTGGGACTATCCAGAGTGTTGTCAGACACTCAACTTCATATTATTTTAATGTTTGACTCAGTTGTATGCAGGCAGACTTCAGGATTTCAGCAGTCGTCGATGCATAGCATAGTCTGGTCCATTGACAAGTTATCACTTGCAAGCAGTGCTGTAAGCGTTGAGGTTATTTGGTGCTATAAGAGGATGTAACATATGCTATTTTGTGAATTCTAGAGTTTTGATTTTTAATGATACGGTAAAGCTTCAGGAAGACTGCTCATGGTCATCTGGGGAAGTTGGCTGGCTGAATAATTTTCTAGGAAACCTCATGAGGGCAGTATTATGAATTGCAAAATGTGTTGAGACTGAGTAACTGAGAATTCATTGGAACTTCAGTGCCCTACTTAGGTGTTGTGGAACAGCGGTTTTATGTTCTCCCCCTGCCCCCAGCTAACTTTGTTAGTGTACTTCTATTCTAAGAAAATGCAGTGAGAAATAACTAACAGGATGCTTGTTGTACACAGACATTTAAGCATGTGCTGCAGTCATGATGTGATCAGAGCAGCTGTCCTGTTGCTTTGGCTACAGTAACTTTTTGGGCAGAGTAAGACACAAGGAGAGTGTGGTTTGCCTGGTAGGAAACTGGCTTTGTAAGTTATGTTTGTGGAATGATTTATTGTAAATCTAGCTTTTTATGAGATGACTGACTAATTTTGAAGCCAGATATGGCTTAATCGGTTGACAATTTTTACTCTTCTGCTTTTTAATCAAGTAGCAGATAATACTACAATGGATGTGACTATTCTGTCAGTTTAAAGCAGAAGTAATTAGAGAATTTTCCATACCTATTTAAATCTGAATTGTCCCTCCTTCTCACCTTTAACTATAGGCAGCTGCTCTGGGTGGCTTCTCATCTGGCATTACTGTGAGAAATGGGGCAGAAGGTCTATCTATGTTAGCACTCAGAGACTATGAACTTTTCTAAACTCTTGAATTATGTTACTGATTCTATAAACAAAGGTTATAAATAGGAATGCCCAAGTAGAGGTGGTCATAAGATGATTAGGATCTGGACCTCCCTCGCTGTTTTCCAGGCAATGGATGTATTAGGCTTTCATTAGCAAGCAAATGAACTGGGCATGGGGGATAGTAGTTGGAAGAGGAAAAAAAGCCTTTCCTTGCTTACAGGGTGACTAGTGTCTACACAGCTGCCAGCATTTGAAATGCCTGCTTCAGGGCAAATGAAATGCCATGTGAGCTGAAGATGTGTTTTCTTTAAACCTCCAGGTTCCAATTATGCTAACTTTGACTTTTCCTTTAGTCCAAAGCTTAGTATTTCTCTGCTAGGGTTTGACTGTCAAACTGCTGGTGTCAGAAACTGGACTGCATCCTGCTAGAATGACTCCCGCTCCCCAACAGGAAAGCATTTCTGTCTGAACACACAGGTGCCTGCATAGGTCACTTCCCCACTTCCCCAGGCCAAGAGCTGCGTTGTCAACAAACCAAGCTGTGAAGTGCTCCTGCCACTTGTGTGTTTCCTGTCCGTGCACTGTGGCTGCTCTAAATAAAAGGGCCTCGCTATTGCTGTGATAACTAATCTATAGCACAATTAACATCCTTGAGTAAAAAGATAAGGGCTTGCCAAAACCCAGCTGTTCTGGGTGTCTGAAACTGAAGAACAAATCTTTTTGGTAGTCCTTCAGAGCAGGGTGAATTTTCATGTCCAGCATGGGTTAGCCAAGTGCCAAGGTTCTCCAGTGTTTGGTGTAGAGTTCACATTCAGTGATAACATTCTTTTTAGTCACTTCAAAGTATTATTTCCTTTACCTGGAAACCCTGTAGGTGTCCTGTTCTTGGGATAATTTTTGTATGTGGTCATAATTCTCAAATATAATTTTTTGGACAACAGCTGGATTACATTCACCTATTTGTAAACCATCTTTGAGAAACATATAACTCATAAGTTGAAAGGGTAAAAATGGAAGGAAAAAGGACTTCCATATGCTATTCTGTATAGAGGGTTGGGAACAGAGAATATTTGAATTTCAGGTTTTATTAGCTAATTACAGAATCAGACTTAAAGGAAAAATGACATTAGGAGTACCATGCATACTCATCATTAGCCTTCAGTAGATATTTTTCCTGCTTTAAAGAAAGGATGGATGAAAGATTTTTAAGGACATTGAATTTTAGTATTTTGAGTTTTAGAGGAATCTTTCTATTTTAAAACTTTTGAGTATTTATATTAAGTATTCTGGTTTTGATAATCCTGTGTAATTTTTTTCCTGTGAATAGCTTCACAGAAGCACCCATCTTGATCATGGTTTGTTTATTCTGGTAATTTTTGAGTATGTGACATTTCATTCTACTAGAATAAAATGTGATTATTGATAATAAAATGTGAATTGATCAGTTCAAAATTAAAATTAATGTAATCTTCAAGTTAGCTAACACACACTATGGATTTTGTTTTCCAGTGTCTGAAACTTGGAGTGACGAAACATGTCTCAGTCAGGTGAAAAAATAAAGGTAAAGAAATGGTTGCATATCCAGAACTTTGTTTAGAATCTACTAAACTTCTTAAAATACTTGTGGTTTTACTGAAGTGGTAAAATAGTGAATAAATGATACCTTATTTGTTCAGATGTGTTTCTTAAAAGGACCTGCTTGCAGAAACAGAGCTTGCATGTGATTCTAGTAACAGGCTTTCGGATGTTTGCCAGACACTCAGTGTCTTGCTTACACATTTAGAATGGTGCCTTTACCTGAGGAAATTTAATTTGACAAACCTTCATTTCTATTTTTTTTGCCCATCTGGGTGGGTTTTAAAAGGATTGTTAGGAAATAACTAATTGCATTTTAAGTCATTTCCCCTGTATCTCCCACCCACCCCACTGGAAGCATGTCATTGTATAAAAAAACGTTCTCATCATAAACTCATCTGTGAAGAATACATTTGGTTCCAGCTAGCTCAGAAGTCCCTAAATCAAGTGGCTGTAGTTCTTGTTTAGGCTTCTATTAGGTTTTCGGTCAACTGATAACAGATGGTGAAGCAGACTGCCCTTTTTAGAGCCCAAATCTCTTTGATAAGTTTTTCAGGCACATTTTTCCTTCCTGCTTTTGTGTTAGAAGTTAAACATTGTGAAGATAGGTGAGCAGCTTAACAAGCAGAAGATAGATCTCTGTGTGATTGTATCTTGGTAATACCTGCATTACTATTCAATGTTCTTGTTTTTCTACATGTGAGTGTACGCATTATTTATTTTATAGAAGATAGCAGCAGCAGATACCAAATTTGAATAGATATTTTTGACCTTCATCGTAAAAATCTTTGGGGTTTTTATCTGTGTTTACATCTTAAGATTAATAATAGCGTGTTCTTGCAAGTTTGCAGATTTTTTTTTTTAATCTGAGGAGAGACTTTTGTTTATGTGTAGTACTTACCAGATTTCTATTTATATCAGACTGCTTGGTAAATAGGCCTATTTCAAGGTCTGCCTCACTATAGCAGCAAAAAATTGTTTCATTCTTTATATTTCCATGTGCTTTATATACCTCTGAACTTTATTGTATAGAATCAGCTGAACTCTGTTTCAACTTTTTAGGGGGAAGGGGCTCTCATTTATGCACAACATTTGTTTTCTTGTCAGTTTTCCGACTCAGCAGGCTATGTGGGATTCGCTAATCTGCCCAACCAGGTTCACAGGAAATCTGTGAAGAAGGGCTTTGAATTCACACTGATGGTGGTTGGTAAGTGATGTTTAAGTATTTTTGACTGTTGAACAACAACAAAAAATTTCTTTCACACAGACATATGTGTCTTCCTACTCAGCAATTGATTATTACACAGAAGAAGCAGCTTTGAACCTCTATATGCTCTCTAATTAAATCTCTTACTATTTTGTCATGTTTGGTAGGAGGGAGTATTTGGTATTTGTAGTGATTAAAGATTATGACTTTGAGCCAACAGGACATTCCTGTATTCCTGACTCATCATCAGCTGGTAGGAATAGCTGCTTAATCGTTCTTTGACTCCCATTTCCCCAGCTGAAAGCATGAATGCGCATGGTGAATATCTTGCTGCTGCAATGGTGATACTATTCTTGTGTTCTGCTGTCCTATACTGACTCACTATGGTATTATAACTACACTTTTGTCTGTTCTGTGAATGAGCACCTGTAGGAGTCTTTGATGGAAAGTCCTTTAGGCACAAAGCTGTTTTAAGTGAAATGTTGACTTCTACTTGCACTGAATCAGTTTAATACTATACAAGTGCAAAGGAAGTCTGCAGTACTATTAGACTTTTGTAGTAGTTACCTTGGAATTACATGTTATTGAAAAATGAAAATGAGAAGAGATGCATAACACTTCCTTCTTATTCTCTCTGCTCTATAGTACCGTTTGGGATTATTTGATGACAGAGCATTCAGCAATGTCTGTAAAATAAATATGTAATATTTGATAAGTGTAGAGTATTTTATTTCATGTAGTTTGTGATGATAAATACAGATAACTTCTCCATCTCTAATATTAGGTTAGTAGCATCTAAAATATCATGGTCAATTTTTCTAAACACTGACTCCTTTGATTCCTTGTGTTAGGAAAAAAGTGACTTTTTGAAATACAGATTTAGTAATTGCATTTCAACGTTTAACTTTTTATTACTTTGATACAGGACAAAATTTTGAATATTTTCTTATGATTTTCTGTTTCATGTTTCATAGCATGTATGTAGCCTAACTATAAAGGTGCAAAGCTCAACTGTTAGTTTGGGATTGCTTTATTCATTCTCCCTCCTAACAGTGTTCAGGTTCAATTTCTAGCTTAGGAAAACTTTAAAGCTCTCGGAAATTTTCAACAAGAGAGTCACAGCTCCTGATTTTGTAAGTTTAAATGAAAAAAAGCTTTTATTTCCTGACGTAACCTAACTATCTCTAGATCTATAGTCAAAGTGCTGTATGACCTTTCAGCTTTTATTATGAAATCTATTACAGTAAACCTAACATTTTCATGTAACGTTTATAAAAACACTAGAGGCTTGTTTTTCCTGTGTTTTTAAAGTGCTTAGCTGAACCTTTGATGTTTTTATCTCAAAAACTAGGGTGGATCCTAATGAACAAATTATTTTTCCTCCATAATGTGGGCTTTGAGAAAGAGGAGGTGCTCTAAAAAGCCTGGAGTAAAAGGTGTATATGCTTAATAACTTGAATTATTTTGTTTGTAGGTGAGTCTGGCTTAGGAAAATCCACTTTAATTAACAGTCTGTTCCTGACTGATCTTTATCCAGAACGTTATATTCCTGGAGCTGCAGGTAAATGTGGTTTTGCAGTTCCTCCAGCACATAGCCTGTGAAACTTTTATGTTCTTTCAGTTAACACTGCTTCATTCTGATGATAACTTCACCCATGAGATCCTTTCTTCACGCTGTGTAGATATATTTTAATCCTTGAAATGATATTTTTTGAGCTGTCATTTTCTCATTTATATCTCCTTTCAAAGACTCAGCTTTTGTTGTTTCTTCATCAATTGTTATTAAAAAAACCCAACCCCCTAACCTTTTAGATGTCAATATACCTAAATGTGGTTTTGCTCTAATCCCCTTTTCCTCTAATGTTTTTTGCCTGTAATGCCTTAAATGCTGGTTAGTGTTGTAACTACCTTTTGACAAAGAATGTAGCATGCTTCTGAGTATTATAATTTTGTTTTTGCATATTGTCATGAGTAAATCCCCTTTTTTGGTTCATGGTTTCTTGTTTATTTACAAAAATGTGGTGTTAAATTTTGACTAGCTAGCTTGTTTTTTTTCTTTAAAATGTTTTAGGTCATGTAAGTTACAATACACTTCAGATTGCATTTCTTCTTCTGTTGCTTTTTCCTGCAGGGGATTCTGCAGCAATTGATAGGCAAAATAACAATCAAAATATTCCTTTATTTTAGAGAAAATAGAGAGAACAGTTCAAATTGAAGCTTCTACAGTAGAGATAGAGGAGCGAGGGGTGAAACTGCGTTTAACAGTAGTTGACACACCGGGATACGGAGATGCCATTAACAGCCAGGACTGGTATGTGTGTAAATAGTAAATACTGCTTTGCTTGATAGAGTTTGTATCTTACACAAATACTGCTCTAGTGGGTCTGTCTTTCTGAACTTAAGTGATTCAGCTGCTGATCTTTGGATAACTTGATGTACTAAAAGAAAGCAATGGGTTCATTATTCTTAACATTAATGGAGTGTTATCTTGAATTCACAGTAGAGGGTCTTTTCTGATGCCTTGCAGTTAAGCACAATTTTCTAAGCACTTCTGCATTCTGGGTGCTCGTCTTCATATCATCAGTGACATGATCATTTAGTTTGTGTGAGCTTTCAAATCAATTTTCTTTTATAATTTCTGTTGCCTGAAATGCGCATCTGTAGCAAAATTGTATTACTTTGTACAACTCCCTGTTTCAATTTTCTAACCACTTTTTTATGTTTTTAAAAGGTTTGGTTAGTGTTCTCTAGGCTGTTTATGACTCTCCCTCAAAACTAATGGCCTTTCCTCCAGTAAGGTTCTCTGTGACAACCGCAGCTAACTTTTTGTCTCTATAGTTGCCCTGATAGGGCAGAATTCTGGTGAAGGGAAAATTTTTTTTGTCTTCCTGTTTCTGGCCCATCCAGTTTCCATGTTTTTAAGACAGTACTTTTCATTCCCTGTCCTTTATATGTACTACTAGCAATTTGGATAGAACTGCATATTTTTTCTGATGGAGTTACTGCTTAGTTCTCTCTGGCCTCAATATTGCTGATAATCTTTAATGGCTGAAATAATTGTCTGCAGATGCACTGGACAACATACATAATTGCTTTAGTATAAAGATCACGAAGAAAGAAAATGGTAAAATAGCTATGAAGGAACTGGGCAGTTTGTAACAAAATCGTAATCAATAGATTTGTTCATAAATGTAATTTCCAAATCATCATCATCATGCACTTTTCTTTAACTGTGGAAAACTGATCTTGTGATAACATTTCTCAGATAAAGATGAGATACATTAACGTGCTTAGTAGGATGTCTGAATTATTCCAGTGCAACTAGAAGCGAAACTTCCAATTTCCAAGTGGTTGTCTTTTAAGAAGTGCTAACTATTTATTTTGCTTAGCTGTTAATTTTTGTTGACACTTTTTTGTGGTGGTGGTGGTAATCCTAAAAGCAAACAAAGTGTCACTGTGCAGAGAAAGGGAGCATAAAGCTAGTACTGGTTGATTTGATCAGGAAGGAGGCAAATAGCTGATAAAATAAACATCTAGAATGTTTTGTAATCTTTTCTTGACAGAATGCTGTATTATGTGGAGCATTCTGAAGAACATTGTTATCAAATGCGATTTTTCTTTTTATGGTGTACTGTAGAAATACAGCAAAAATGAAGGCAGTGAAGTAATATAATACACTAAATGAATGTTTGAAAGTGAAGCTGTAATGGAGTTTTTGTTTTCCTCCCACTTTTTCTACTTTATGAAGCTGAAACAAATTGAACTTTTAGAATAACATGAAGCCATCTTTTTGGACTGTGGCATAGTCTTGCTTATTTTGTGCACTGTTGACTAGAGCTTCCTTCCGCTGGAGCTAAGCTCTGCAGCCTGTGTATTGTGTTACATAGAGCTCTTCCTGTTGATTGTGTTCTAATGCCCTTTGTTTATTCTGCTAAGATGTTTCTTAGAGACCTACGTGTACAGATTTTTCCCCTTTCTTTTTGGAGGCTTGCTAAATAGAGTCATTCCATGATGATTCAGACCCAGTAGAACAATTTACTGGTTTATACTTAGTTTTCTGTGACAAATCTTAAACATCAAAATACGTTACGGGAGCAAATAGTACTTACATACTATAAAGAAAAAAAGATGCAGTTAACTTTAATTGTCTCTCTCTAGTCCCATTTTCTTATATCACATGAAAAGACTCCGTCCAAACGTCATTCGTCATGGCTTAAAGTCTGTTAGTCTTGATAGGATGTCACAGGGACTTGAATGGATAGAATCTTTGTTTCAAACTGTAGTCAAGACTAACCCAGTGCAACTACCTTCCTTCCTTGTTAGTTCAGAGGAAGCAGCAAGTTTGTGTTCTTGAACTGATGTTTGTGTTCAGGAGCATTTACTGCAATTATGATTAACTGGTAGATGCTGCTGATCTTGATCCAAGTTTTACAAAGCACTTCTTCTGGGGAAAGCTGCAATTTGTGCAGACTACTTGTTTTTCAGGGTGTTGAATTGCACTAAGGTTATTTTTGAACAGAGGTAAATCAAACTGGCATGATGTGCTTAGGAGGCAGCAATCGCTGATCCTGTTTTCAAACGTCTAGGGAGTAGGTTTCCTAGTGGCTTTTGTTTCTGTCTTTGCATTGCATTGATGAGAGGGCTTAATTTTAGAGTTTGACTTTCTAGAATGGGAGCTGGGGTCAATTTTTATATATTTTCCATGACAGGATTTTGTCCGGGGGTCTCCTGGATTGGAAGAATAGCAATGTTGGATTGGGAAATGAGTTGTTACAGATTTAGTATAACACATTCTCTAAAATAGATTTTTTTTTTTTGTTTTGTTTTTCAAATGCTATTTTACTTAAAACAGCCTGTAAGAAAAGGTGGATGCTAACCACAGTTAACCATAGTGATAATTTTTTAGATTCTGTGTAAGGCTTTTGTGCTAGTTGGAGGTCTGTATTCTAGAATCAAGCTACACCTAGGAATGCTCTTGGCATCAGTTTAGGCCTGTGTTTAGAGAACAGCAAAATTCTTTATGGTGGGAGGTTTCAAGTGTAGAACAGCTCTTCCATACATAAGGACATTGGGATCGTGAGAGAAACATGTACTTAAATAACACCTTTCATCAGACATAAGAGAAAGGATCTGAGGAGAGGAGGAAAAAAAAATTGCTTCATGCACAGATGACATGGTCAAATGTGGTCTCAAAAGGTTGGTTGACAAAAACAGTTAAAGATTAACTTCTTGGATATCGCTGATTATACGCCTTGTTTCATCTTGGTTGCAGTGTTGCAGATTATTCTTTGATAACTGCTTTCTGGCTGCTGCTAACTTTCTTTTTATACTGGATTATGTTAACTTGTATTTTGTGGGTTTTGGCAGCTTGGTAATATTGTTCATTTTCCCCCACTGGGCTTAAATGCAACGCTTGTGTTGTTTGCTGTTACAATACAGGATGTGCGATCTCCTAAGTAATGATAGCACAGTGGTATAAGCCAGGTGTTTCCCGGAAGTCGGGAGGTACAGGACACTAACGCCATATTTATAGGGAAAATTAGAGCTGTTAAAGCTAGAAAACTGCACGTAAACTAATTACATTGCCAGAGAAATGTGTGATAGTTGCTTTCCCATTGTTTGTGCTTGGTTTCTGTCCTAATATTTGTACGTCTTCAGTCTCGTTACCTTTCACCAGTTAAGAGGAGAGTATCTAAGATCAACGGGATCATAAACCATGTTGTCCTTTTAACTCATTTAGGTATTAAGATGCTAGTTCTTAAAGACTTGAGCACCACTAAGGTCACAGCAAAACAAGGAATTTATTGGGCTTTGTTGTCTTCTGTAGTATGACTTAGAACGGTGCAAATCTTGCAAAGATATAAACGTGTGTATATATACTCTACTAAGGATTTATTCCTCCTAGATCCAAAAGCTTACTCAACTTCGGAAAATCAAATTCCTTTCAGGATCTCTTCCATCGTCCTTGTTACTTTCTTTACTTTCTTTTGTTTTCTTCGTTGCAGCCCAGGGTTGAGCTTCAATGCCTGTCACAGTATTTGCCATCACTCTGTGTTTGTTTTCCAGATGACAAATTGTGTTCTTTTGTCTGTTTTCTCATTAAATTTCCCTAGTCAAATTTGTACTTTCTCAACAACAGAAATACTATTTTTCAAGTAAGCTTTCTGCTCAGTTTTTCCCCAGGTAGTTTAAGATACGTTCATGACACACAATCATCTGCCAAATCTTATCTTCATCACTGTGTTCATTTCCCTTCCCCTGCGGTACTTAATATAAAGTGTCCTTTTATATTAATGTTGTTTGCAGGTGTCTACATGCTCTGGAGTATCCTAAAACAATCTTCTTAGTAACGCATTGTGCTTTCTTTTCTCTCTCTAGTCACTGCTCTTTGTATCTGCTTAATCTGTATGACCAAATTTTGTGTTCCTTTACTTCTTTGCAGGGCATATGTTAAGTTGCCTTGAACTAAGTAGGAATTTTTTTTCTTTGCCAACAGAAAAGGATTCTGTAAGGTAACAAAAATAGCTTAATAAATCATGTGATGCTTTAGTGCATGACTTGCAAACATATTTGTACTTAATTCAAACAGACTAGGATACCAGAATTTTCATAGGTAACTATAGAAACCTAGCTCTAGGGTCAGGGTTGTAAATGAAGAGGATATCCGGGATATATCATTTGTCAGCTGGTTTAAAAACAAATCGTCACTCCCTACTCCCAGGAAAAAAAGCAGAAAAATCCTCAATCTTCTGTTCCTGTCTGTGTTGTCTCAGCATAGAGTGCTTTTTTTCTGAGCTTGCACTTGAACTTTTTATCCAGTAGACAGAGTAACACTTGAAAGTAGCTCTAGGCATAAATAGACACTTAGTTGCTATGAAAATATCTTTTTGCATTATCAAAATACTTTTCCTAGTAGATACAATGCTAGGAAGTTGAATTTTTGTAACAGAAATGTTCTTAATAAAAGTGTGATTCTCCTCTTTCTGTTCTTACCTTTTCATGATTCTTTTTTTGTTGTTTTAAAGCTGATATAAGATACCTCTTTTTCTCCCTGCCCTGTACCACAGCTTCAAAACAATTATCCAGTACATTGACAACCAGTTTGAAAGATACCTTCATGATGAGAGCGGTCTAAACAGGCGCCACATTATAGACAACAGAGTCCATTGCTGTTTTTACTTCATCTCTCCCTTTGGGCATGGGTAAGAAAAAGCTCTTGAGTTCTTGTGTTTTAGGACATTATATTGTGTTCATAAGTCTGTTTATTATTTGAACTGGAAACTTAACTTTAGTGTTAGCTGAGTTACTTCCTACACTGTCAATTAGCCAGTACAATTAAAATCGTCTTTGGGGATAAATGCTGTCCTCTGCTTTGTTTCCTTTTTGGCATTTAATATGGTTTTGAAGCAGTCACTATTACATTGTTTATCACTCAGAAACATAAGAGCTTATAATATCTGATTTATCTTATAGTGACGATTTCAGTTGCAATTCAACCTTTACCCAACGAAGCTGATAAGCAAGTGCTCTAACTTAATTTATGTTGGAAATACTATTTATGTAGATACTTGAAATAAATAATGTTTAATACATGTGGTCTGTTAAAGAAAATCAAACACAAAAAATCCACCCTTTTTTTTCCCCTTCTTTTTTTTTTCCCCCACTTGTTGGCAGACTGAAACCATTAGATGTAGAATTCATGAAGGCTCTTCATGGAAAAGTCAACATTGTCCCTGTGATTGCCAAGGCTGACACGCTGACGCTGAAGGAGAGAGAAAGGCTGAAGAGAAGAGTAGGTCTAACGCTTGATCATGAGAACAATGCAATCCATACAATGTTAAAACCAAATATAAAGTAAATTCAGACTGAAGAGGGGTGAATGATATTGGCCAAGGACCTAATCTTCAGGGAGTGTGGGGTGGGAGATCTCCAGTGAAGTCTGATATGCTTTACCAGTTACACTTGCTGACAATCTGGCTATTTTTGGCTTCATCTATCTTAGCAAGCAGTGGACCCCAACAGAGCAGGTTTTGAGCAAAATGGTTTGTAACAAGGGTTCAAATCGTCTTGAAATACATGTAGCGTAGATGTTTCAAACTAGCCCTAGTTTGGTCCAATGGACAGACTGCCCGTTAGTGGTGGGAGTGCATTAGATATGTTCTGAGAGAGTATCTTTAGGTTTAGTTTTTTCCAAAAGAAACTTGGTTTGCATACTCCAGCTGCCCTAGTGGTTTATGTGGTTTTATGTAAATGTGGTTAAGTCAGGGTGATGGGAAACTTGCTTGGTAAGTGCACCCATGATACAAACTAAAACCCTAATATAGAGTCAGGACAGTTGGGCTAATACATTAGCAGGATACTCTTTATAGCTCCATAGTTATGGAAAAATGTACATCGTCTTGCATATGTGTTTTCCCGCTAGGTTATCTGTTCACATGGAATACCAGGACATACTCAGGACTGCACTGGAGAAAGGCTTTCCAGACAGTGGTGTGAAAATAAATCTTTTCACACTGAAAGGTTTACTTGCTGTCTTGAATTTTGTTTTTGTCAAACCTTTCCAAGACAGGCCAGCCTCTGCCAAATGTGACACTGTAGTGAATTCTATAGGAATAAAGTACATATTTGTGGTTGTACAAGTCTTTCACTTTAAATCTAATTTCTGTTTAATCTCATCATAGAATAATCTGGCCAATGAATGTAAACATTTAATCTTTTCTGCTTTTTCCTCTTTGATCCAGAATGACTTTGTGCACCTTCTTAAAGAAATAGGTTGGTGCTGAGATTGTGTTAGCTGAGAGGTGGTTCAGTAAAAGTTATTGACATCACAAGCTCTTTTCAGGTTCTGTTGATCCAAAAGCAGTACATTCAGTTGTAAAGTCTAAAAGATTTGAACCCTACAAAGCCTGGGAATTTTGACAAGTTTAATAACTTATGCTGTGAGTAGTATAGAGATAATTAGTACTTCTAAAATGCAGTCCTATACTTTGTACCAGGTTATGCAAACTTTTTTCATTTTAAGATTTCACCTTAATCTTTTATATAATATCTTAATATAATTCTATATTACCACTTTTTGATTTTCATGGAGGGCATGACAGATGTTTTGATTGTGATCATCTCGCTTCCAGTAGTTCTTTAGAATGGTTATTGGATCTTTATTCCAAGGGCTTTTGTGTGGGGATATTTTTCAGTTTTCTTGAAGAGGGAGTACAGCTTTATTTTACTGGGAAAGTAGTATAGTTAAAATCATGCTTACAAAACAGCACATTAGCTGAACTCAACCTAAATTCAGAGGATTTGTTTGGGTTTTTTTGGGTGGACCAGTGCCACAATCAAAGGTGTGACTGTATAGTAAGCAACTATAATTCGGCAAGATGAGGTACTGCTGGTATTGCTGTTATGTTTATATAAAGCTCAGTCATATCAGGCGGCTTGCCCAGGAAATGGAATAAATCCCCTATATCTGAAGAAGTTTAAAGTGGGGACAGTTGTGACTGTATGAACCTTGTCTGCAATGTAGACAGACCTTCACTGAAGAGGCGGAGAGGTATTTATACAAAAGTGATCAGCTTTATGATGACCTAGGTGAAAGAGGGAAGGGGGGGGGAATCATTCACTGAGTTAAAAAGGACCTCTAGATCTTGCTGGGAGAAATTCTGTCCAGGCTCTTGAGTTTTTATTTTGTTCCTCTACAGATGCTATGAGGAGATGATGGGTACTATGGGCAAATTGAGAGAACTCATAGGGAAATAACAAAGCAGAGATATGGCTGCCTATGCTAGTTTTACCACTTCTCTTTTGTGTGGCTGTACTGACTTGGTGAAAGATTTTCATATGATAGTAATATTGTTTGTGGAGCTGCTACTTTTTGTAAAGAAACTGTATTTGATCTTTCAGCAGTGTACTTCAGGGTCAGTTTTCATAGGTACTTATCTTTTGGTTCAGCATTTGGTGGCAGAATGATGTTGAAAGATTTGAAGCAGGCATTTAAGTGGAACATTAATTATTTGACAATATAATTCACTGGGGATCTGAATGTTCTGCTTTATCAGTTCAAATACATAAAATAAACCAGTATCAAATAGGTTCTAGCTACAGTCATCTTTCACAACGGCAGTTCTTAGGTGAAATGAAGAGAAACATACTCTTATGAGGTTTCAATACTTACTGTACTTGTTTTGGGACTCTTCTCTGCTCCTTTTATCTGCTGGTTGGTGGCCTCTCTTAGGGTCAAGCATAGCATAGTGCACATGCTGTTTGACATCCACTTCTGTGTATTAACGCTGGATTTTAGCTGAAATGTGGCAGCAGCACAAGCAAACATGTTTCCTAATTTGAATTTGGAATTGCTTATTTTTGAGTACAATTCTGTAGGTGATCCTAGATTGAGGGTTTATGATATATGTTTATTGTGGAAGATGGAGATAAATCCCAGTTTACATATCCTATGATGAACAGATTAATTTAAAGGCAACCTCTATTGACCATATTCAGTGCTAATCCATGTCTAGTTCTTTCTAGCTTGAGCAAAGTTACTTTTAACTAACCGGTCTTTAAAACAGTCTTGACTTATGGACACCACATTTATGCATTGGATAAATATAAAAAGACGAATGGTGCTTATGCTGTAGTCTGAGGGAGTGGTTAGGAAACAGGTAAACAAGCCTTCATTATTTTTGTACTGCTGTCAAAGGTCACTCTACAAACTGAGTTTATACTAAGTCAAAAATGTATAATGTGCTTCCAAAGCTTTGAAAGACTAGCTACTGTATATTGTTCTAACTCAAAGCATCTTGCCTAACAGAATCTCTAATCAAGAATAAGAATCAAAATCCTGCTTTGCTGACGCAGCTTGAAGTCTTGTTTTTTTTAGATGTTTCTGCCATTTGGCCATCAATCTAAAGTAAAATGTTTTTGTTTTGCCGCTTTGGACTAAGCAGCAAGATCAGTTTGTGGTGCTTGCAAAGGAAACCCAGCTTGGAGTAATTCCTGTTTGGTCTTTCTGGAATTCAAAGTTATTTTTTAAAACTCTTGAGTGGGAAGAAATGCAAGGCAGTTTCACAAGCTGTGCCATGCAAGGCTGCTAAGGAAACTTGCTCAAAAGAATGACTTCATGAGAGGGGAACTAATATTTTGACTTTTTTTTTGATTTCCCATGAGAAGGCTAATCTTTAGGAACACAGAATCCTCTGAGGCCAATAAAATTCAGATTTGAAGATGCAAAATGCTGTTTCATTGTTAGGACCATAAAATACAGTTTGTTTTTATTGCAATTCTTTTTCCTTTCAGGAAAGCACTAGGTTTAACAGCTGTAATATATTATTCTAGCACCCCTTGTTGTTGGCTTTCCCGTTATTGTTTCACTTGCATATTATCTTTAAGATCTCAGCCAGGTTAAATGTGCGTTCTTTTTTATGCAGCTACTTAAAGGCATCGCACTGCAGCACTGCCCCACCTATCCCAGCTGTGCATCTTGTATTATCATTTGGTGACAATTTAGTTATCTTCCATTTTGCAAAACAATAACAACATGCATTGATTTAAAAGTAATTGTGTGAATGTAACTGTTATTGGCAACACTTTCTCCCAATTTTTTTTTTCTTTTAGAAATATTGCTCTCAGTGTGTTGGTGGGGGATTATAATATTTTATTCAGTGTGTGCGCGCGTGTGAGTGCGGGGGATGTTTATATACCTGGCAGGAAAACATTGTCATGGGAATAGCTGTGGTTCATACGTGGTCATTCTTCTTCTAATGGTGTGAGGGATTGTTTTATTTTAAACAGCTGTTTAATAATCAAGCTCTGGTTGGACAAGTTTTATTTATACCGTAGCTGTCGGTTGCCATCAGAGGATCAAGGAACCCAGCAATACTATGGGAAGTCCGCTCATTGAAACCTTTTGTCCATTTGAAGTCTGGTTGTGTTTGTATTATCAAGTTAATGTCCAGTTATATATGTAGTAATGACAGCACAGATCCTTATATAGATTTTTCTGAATGTTTTTGATTGCCTCAAAACCCTCCCTGACTTGCCCAAACTTACAAGTGTTCATTACTGCAGTAGTGCTGCTCCTTGGTTCAGGTGCCGGTTGCGGGGTTACAGTTGCAACTCATTAGAATCACAGAATAGTTCGGGTTGGAAGGGACCTTTAAAGGTCATCAAGTCCAACCTCCCTGCCATGAGCAGGGACATCTTCCACTAGAATTAGGGAATGCTAATCTAGGAAGTATGCACAGTTAACCTTTTTCTGCTGAGACATTCGAGATCCTGTTGAAGAGAGTTACTGTGGAATCTCAATATTCTTCATGCTCTCCTCATACCGCCACAGTTTCTTTAGTGAAAGAAAATCTTGTCAGTGCATTTGAAGGGATTTCTGACTTAAATATTTTTCATAGTATGGCAGTAGAAGCATTCTCTTCAGTTCTGAAGAAAGGATTGACTTGTACCACCTTTTGAAAGAGCCAAAGGCCTGGAATTTTGCTAACTGCTTACCCCTGCAGTGATTTCATTAGGAAAAGAATGTATACAGGAATACAGAGAGTGTATTTTTTTATATTAATCTAAAACATTAGTGACAATAAAGAAAACTGTTTATGGATGGTTTTTCTCGTAGTGGATTTTGAATATTTTTTTTCCAGTTAAAGTGGATAATAAACTTTTGTCTTTTTGATTCAAGAGACAGTAGGCACTGTTTTTTAAATTTTTGTGCATGTCAAATACGTGAAAATTACTTTGGCATGGTCTGCATGGTTTTGATGCTGTAATTAATGAATCCCTTCTCCAAATTCATTGCTTTTACTTATTTTTTTCATCTTATTTTCATATTAACTTCACTTTGGATTTGTCTGCTTCTGTCTTATGCTCCATGTTAATTACTTACTGTGTTTTCTAAAGATGCATTATCTTTTGTGCCCTTTTAAAAATCTTTAAGCCTATGTAATTTGGCATGTTGGGCACTGAGTCAGGTGCATGTTTGTTAGCCTTCAAAAAAGTGCTGTGCAAGAGTACAAATATTTTGCTGCTAATCTTCACAGCAATATAATGTTCTAATTCTGATGTTTATTCCCCAAGTACAGCTACAGATGGTTGTCTGAAGGCCTAGATTGCATCTTGATCTGTTTATTTGAAATCTTTATTTCTGTATCACTGCACAAAAATATGTTAAGGTCATATGCAAAGAAACATACATTAGGAATGTCACAAAACGCATTTAGTCATTGGGTTTGTTTCTCTGAGTAGAACAGCAGCTCACCTGTCTTTCTTGTTCAGCCATTTCTGATTTTGCAGGTTGTATCACAGAGATTACAAACAGTTCAGTTCAGAGGTAATCTCAGTAATTTGGCTTTTTAAAATGCCTGTTAGTAAACTCTTTAAAAGAGAACCGCTGTAGTTAGCAAGTATCAGCAGTGTTTTTAAGATTTTTTTTTTTTTTTTTAATATAGTAAAATAGCCTTAAAATCCAACCAGATCTAGTACGGGTTTTCTTTCTTCTTTTTCAGGATGTGATTGATTTCCCACTTAGTATTCCTTTCTTACATCTCAAAACATATAAGTTGCTTGCTGGGTGCTTTTATACTTGAACTGTTCTTTCCAGGATATTTATGGACTTGAGGTTCAAGACTCTGTTGAATAAAGAGAAAATGAAAAATGCTGGGTTTTTTTTCTTCATAGGTAGAATGAAATTAATGCCATCAAAGATAGTCTTGTAGGACATAAACTAATTTGGTAGTACGTAAACTCAAAGCATAAGTAATGGCAATTTTTGCCTCTGACTTTTTTCTAAGCATTGTCAAACTACTTAAAGCAGAAAAATGTTCTGAGTTTTCTAGAGGTGACAGACTAGTAAGTCAATTGTACATATTTTTAACTTGATGGTTCTTCAATGAAATAAGAATCTACTACTCTTCTTTTTTTTAAACTTCAGGTTCTGGATGAGATTTCTGAACATGGCATTAGGATTTATCAGCTCCCCGATGCAGATTCTGATGAAGATGAGGAGTTTAAAGAACAAACCAGAGTTTTAAAGGCAAGTTTCACTCCTAATTTATTATTTTGTTGCAGTAGTACTTCAAGCTTACAGTATGCTTAAAGGTACTTTATTCCTTTATAATATGTTGAAAATTCAAGTTTTCTTTGGATGTTTACTCTGAATTATAATCCTTTTTATTCCAGTCTCTGCTTCATCAGAATTCCAAATGTAGTGTTGTGACTTTCTTTTTTCTCTTTAAGCAGCTCTTCACCAAGAACTGTGATTTGCAGTCTGTTCTCTGTCTCAAACCTTTCAACGCGCATGTAAAGAGAGAGAATGTGTGTGTGTTGTGGTTACTAAACTAACTAACAACTTTCCTCTTGTTAGAGCAGATAATAAAGGTTTTACTGAAGTAGTTTCCTCTTTGTGCTGTCATGCTTGCAAAGGTGCTTGAAGAATGTAGCTGAAATTCTCTCTAGCTACTTTAATCTGTATCTGAAGTATGTTTCTGTTGGCTGTTTTCCATGTATGATGTTATGTCAGATGACACATTATGCCCAAACTGTACTTCAACAACAGTCAAGTGTTCCTAAAGCAAAGCGTCATTTCCTTTTATGCCTCTGTTAAGACAAACTGATCCTAACAAAACCACAGGTGTTAATAATGAGAGGTTGCATTGCCTAGGATAGGATTTGTTGGTTTTCTGATGTGGAAAGATTTTGGTAGAGTGCATTTGTCAACATTTCTTTTCCCCCTCTCCTGTCTCTTACTTAAGTCTTTGTGCTTTCTTTAAAAGAACCACCCCCTCCCCCCCAAGTAACCAGTCAAAAATTAAAACAGTAACTTGTTTTGCTGTATCTCAACTAGGCTAGCATTCCCTTTGCTGTTATTGGATCCAATCAACTTATTGAGGTGAAAGGGAAAAAAATCAGAGGCCGTCTGTATCCCTGGGGAGTTGTTGAAGTTGAAAATCCAGAACACAATGATTTCCTTAAACTGCGCACAATGCTGGTGTGAGTAATGGTAAAATTATCCCATCTCCTGTGGTGACATAACTGTTACAATGACTAGAGAGTTACAAAAGCATGAACTCCTTAATTCAAAACTACCACTGATGGCAGTGTTAGAGTGCCTTTTTACTGTGTGCCCATGGCCCTCAGCTTGTTTTGCTGCTGTAATCCTCTGATCTCTGACTTCAGAAAATATCTTCTGTATTTTACATTGCAGTTATATGTGACAGTTTTATGCCTTATGTGAACTGATTTGATGGCTTTACATATAAATTGAAGTTTCCTTATAGTGCAGTGGGTGGGGCAGAGAGGCTTTTAAAATATTACTCAAAGTGATTGATTAAACTGTGAAGAGTATTCTAAAGGGAAATCCTATGTTAAATATGATACCCCGTCCCTTTATGATTTTAGTTTATACAGATATTCTGCCTGTGTAGATGGTTTTAAAGTGATTTTTTTTTTAAATGACATCTTGCTATTGTTGGAATTCTGTTGTGTATTTCTGATTTCGATTTCCACTGGGCAGGGATTGCCCTCTGCTGGTCATTGGCAGCAAGCATTTTCCTTTTTTTTTTTTTTTTTTTTTTTTTTGGCAATTGAAAATTGTTAGGCAATGCTAGCTGTTATGTAAGCCAAGGACCTCCACCTAGTTCTCAGTTACAAATTATACTTTATAGCACTTATGAGTCAAAAAAATGCTTTAGGAACTAAAGTATCTTTCTGAATAACTGTCTTTGTAATGTTAAGAACCTTGCAAAGACTGGGATAAACAACTCCTATAAAGTAATTAGTGAACAAGAGGAGCACAGCATACTTTGCGTCTTTGAGGAATATTGGTGGGAGGGCACTTATGTTTATTGGTCTTTAATTCATACTTACAAAGCTAGCCAGAACACTGCTTTCGGCAGGCTTGGTCAGTAAGGATTGTTTTTCCAGTAAATACATCCATTATATAAAACAGAAATAGAAGATAAAAGGATGGGTTTTTTCCCTTTGACGAGAAGGACAAAGTATTCAATAGCCCTTTGCATGTTCTAGAACGCACATGCAGGACCTGCAGGAGGTCACCCAAGATTTGCACTACGAGAACTTCCGTTCGGAGAGGCTAAAACGAACTGGCAAGTAAGTGTGCCTGCCTTGGGGTTCTGCTGCTTGTGAGTCTCATCTTTTTCCACTGTGACATTGGACTTGTTCTTCCTCCTAACTAATCCCTCCTGTAACTAACTATTTCTCATGAGATTTCAATCTATGGAGTTACTGAAACTTGTATGAAATGCTTTTCTTGAAGAGGAGCAATATGTAGCAAAGTGCCGTGCTTACAAACAGCTGTTCTTGGTTTTGTATCCCTTCGCTTTTCTCTATGCTTTTCATTGGAATGTGCCTAAAGAAGTAGTGGATTGCCAGCAAGATAGGTGTTTTTTTTAAATGATGTCTAAGCAGAAAAAACCCCCCCTACTCTGGGTACATTCAAACAGGCTCCAGCCTATCTAATTAGGTAGGATGTTGCTTCTCCAGTTATTCCTGGACTACCATGGTGGCTGTTCTCTTGCTCCTTCATATATAGCTAGAGAAAGAAGTTTAGACCCAACGGTGGTCTTCTGGTGATGTGTGTGGGTTTTGTGCTGTGTGGTTCATTTTTTTGTTTGTGTTTTTTCTTGTTAAGGTTTCTGTCCTTGGCAACTTAATGCAAAAAAAATCCGCATTTACCTGTGCTGCATCATTTTGATAGCAACTTATTCTTGTTCCTGCTTTAATATTCAGCCAAGCATTTTGATCTTACAGAAGAAAGGAAATAGCCTACACAGCTTTTTTAATGGTTGATTTTTGTATCATGTATAGATAGTGGAGGGGATCTCTTGGTTAGAGTAAATGGCAAAAAATCCCCATAGCAGCGAAGAAAGTGAATTTTGAGAAACGGAGGCTGAATAACAGGAGTCTATGAGGTAAAGATGGCATCTTACAAAAGGGAAGCATGGGTTTAAGAATGTCCTAATTTCCCCTGTGTGGAAGCATGTAAACTTTTTTGTTGTTATATTAGCTGAAATAAGAGCCTTGAATCTGTTCTTGGAGATTTTTACTTCTGTATCTTATACCATCAGTGCATTCTTTTGTTCAATAGGCCTGTTGAAGAAGAAGTGGTAGACAAGGATAGAATCCTTCAGCAGAAAGAGGCTGAGGTAAGAGGCAGCTTCTAAAACTGTTTTTCTTTAATATAACATGCTATGTTCCAATTTCAGTATTGTACATCAATGACTGCCTATGGAGTGCAAGATTTGAGTTGCAAAAAGTGACAGACCTAATTTGAGCATACAAGTTGCCCAAAGAAGGTATTTTGTTTATAGTCGGTTGCATACTGTGGATGGTAGGTAGTATGTGGACTCCTGGTTGTGAGAAGGGTATTTATCGCTTTCAGTTTGTATGCAAATTTTCCATAAGGTTTGTTGCTATTTTTCAAGTCTTGAAATCAATTTGTTTGTTAGCTACATAGGCTGCTTTAAACACAATATGTTGGGGTAGACAGATAGCCTAATGTAATGTGCATGGCTTACTGCAAGTATGTTACCAGTAAATTTCTTTTATGTCTTGTGGCTATGGAGTAGAAAAAGGTTGTTAAGTCTTAAAAATCCCATGATATAATTAATGTGGATGTTTTTTCATCTTAATCTTGAGTTGCAGCAAAACTCATAATATTTCTGTTGTACTGGTCAACTTACGGATTTGATGTTTTCAATCTCTGATTTCTTACTCTGGTTTCAAGTTACTACTAGGCTTTTCAACTTAACATTTTTATGCTAAAGTTCTAAAGATTCAGAGATTTTTAGCCTGGTATTTCAATTCTAGTAGTACACTACCAATGCTTATGACTGCTTGCATATAGGACTTGCTGCCAATTGGAAGATGGTGTTTTTGTCCATAAATAGAGTAAGGGTATGATTTAAAAGATCAATGCATATATGCAGTGATTTGGAGTAAGAAATAAAAAACTACAGGCAGTTTTATGTGTTTCTGAGGTGAAAGATTCAGAGTCCCATACATGGAAATTTTGGAAATATAGTTACTTTGGTCTGTGCATTTCCTTTTTCTTTTATAGCATCGATATTTAAAAATACCTGACCCTGGCATGTTGACATAAATAGCAACAAATTTTCCTAAAAGGAAATGTAGCAGCAGCTGATTATCACCATAACTAGTAGCTAATAATAGGAATTACTGGAGATTAAATGAGCTGCATCTTTATCACTGTATAACTTCATTTCAGCAACATAAGCACACTTGATGGCCATGCACTTATGAGAATAGAACTTCTGCAAGTATTCTGTACACAAATTAACTGCCTCCCATTTACTGATGTGTATGTGAAACAACAGTAGACAATCAGCTGATAGCCAGGGATAATAGATGCTTTGAAAATGTCAAGAGCATTGTTTGGAAATGTTTTGTGGGTTTTTTTTCTTTTTCTTTCTTAATGCTTCCAGAATTCAGGCAGTAGACTTAGAGGATTTGTCATAAGTGTTTCTCATGTTATTTGAACTACACGAATTGTACATGCCTACTATTTAAGAAGAAACTTCGGTATCCTCGTAGAACTATTTGTCTTAAGGCTTACATCTGAAAAAATTATTCTATAACTTTTTCCCCTGGAAACTGTTGATATGGCAGGCACATTATTATATACTGGTCTATTCTGACCACTCTCTGAATGTATATATAGCATTTTTTATATTTTTTTATATATATATATATATGTGCATGTAATATATTTTTTGGTATATATAATATGACTGAAGGGATGAAGTCTTGAGTTTCTTGGAGGACAATCTCTGAAAGTTTCCTCTGGGACTAATCATCTCTGAATAACTGCTGCTGAAGTTGCAGAGGATTAGGTTAGAACTTGAAAAAACAAATAGATGTTTTTAACTTCTGCATTCTATTGTCCCAAAGAGATCAAGAGGCTTTGCTGAATCTTCTGTAGATAAGCCAGTATGAAATCCCTTCATCTCCATATCATTCCAAAAGTTCAGACTGGGAAAAGTCTGGGGAGGAAAGAGGCACAGAGGAAATGGGCTTGCATTCCATGGCCTTTGCAGAGAAAACAAATACCCATTTCCCCTCCTGTTTTGGATTCCCATCAGTAACGGTGCTTGAAGTTCTATTTACAGTTTTGTAAGGTTTATATAACCTTGGAAGGAATGAATGCTTGGGCTAGTGCCAGGATCATCTTTATCAAGGCATCACTTTTGCTAAATGATCTTTTATTATGCCAAAAGATATGGTCCCCAGTTCAGCAATTCAGAATTGCTAATCTGTCATTTTGGATTTATTGCTCCATCTGGCTGTGCTTTTTGCGCATTTCCAAGTGATGACCTGTTTTTCTAAGCTGGGCATGAAAATAAGAATAAGGGTGTCAATGTTCCTTACAGTAAATATGCTGCAGTTCAGATTATTTTGTAGTGTAAATGGGCACAAACTTAAAGTTTGTGGTGTTGTACCATATTCTTCCTGCTCTGAAAATATCTCATAATAAAAACCTTTCAAAGTTTTGAGAGGCAATACTTCCAGAAAAGTGTTAAGGACATGATTACATGAAATGGCAAGGAACAAACTTCCTCTGATTTTTTTACTTTTTTTTCCCCAGCAAGCTACCCTGAGGCTTTGGGCAAATCCCTTTGCTCCACTGTCTTCAGTGGAGTTGGTCAACAGTTGGCTGAATATAGTAGAATTAATCACAACGTTGAAATTATTTTTTTCTCTGTCCTTTCTGAACTTTCTGAATGTGTTTAACGCTTTATCAGATGAGATGAAGAACCCTGGCTTAGTATGGAAGTCAGTGTGGGCACAGCCCGCAGTGGCAGGGCTGCCAGGCTGGGGTCTCGCAGCAGCCCTGCGGGTAGGTGAGGATGCGATGAACACATGCAAGTAACTGCCTGGTATTGCAGATATTTGTGTGTTTTCTTGAAAGGTAAGGTGAAGACTTATGTGGAGAGACAGCATGACTGCTGATGAAGGCCTGCAGACCTGAGGGAAATAAAAACAGCTCTAAGGTTTAATTTGTGTTGTGGAATGCTATTGCCTAGTGCAGGGGGAAGGAGGCATGGTTTCTGCAGAATGCTTCAGCCTTCCTCTGTGAAGTGACGCAGTCTTAGCCCTGGGAGAATATAATAAGAAGAAAACCCTTAGTAAGCAATTAGCAATGGGAATCCCTTGGGAGCTGGAATGAAGAACAACTTTTTTTTTCTTGTCCTTTTGAGTTGTTCTTTAAAGGGACAATGCTTGCAGCCCATGTAGTGTGATGACTGTGGCCATAGTGACTTCTGCTGTTCATGTCAGTGTGTCCTATGAACAGCATCGATGGTAGCCCCTTTTCCAATATAGTAACTTTGTCAGGAGTATTTTTCTTGTCTTCAGTTAACATGATGAGTTGTACTCCTTGGTATTGGAAGTATTTTTAACCAACAGCAACTGTCATGGGAACATGACAGTTCTGGTGTAGTAGAAAATCCACTGTCTACATGTAAAGGCATGGGCAGAAATAATTATACTTGGTGTGGGGAGGGGAAGCGTGTCAATGGGAAGTAGATATTGTTCGTTTTTGAACATTTCTTTTCCTGTGATACCTGTAGGGTTGTCACCGAAAAGCCACTGACCTTGTTCCGACAGGAGTAGTACTTGTTGATATTCTGGACAAAACATACTACAGATGATGAAATCTTGTAGGTAAAGCAAAACTGTATATCTGTGGTTTCTGTTAATGACATGGAAGCCATCAGGAAGCTTTATGGTTCACTTCTAATTCTGTAACCTTAACTCTCATTTTAAATACTGGTTTCTTTTCTGTGTTGCTACAGTAGTTACGTGTAGTCACTACCCAGTAGTTACATGATAGTTTGAAGTAAATTTTAGTCCTGACATAAGTAAACTAAGTGGAGTTTGTACCAAGGAGAAGTTTACTCTTGATTTTTGGTATCTGGGAATTCACAGGAATTGTTTGTTTCAACAGATTTCCAAACATTGTTTCCTACCTTCCTTTTCATGATGTGCATTGACCCTGTGCTATCATGTTGTAGTGTCCTTTAAGGGATGAATGCAAGTTCCCTGCAGAATATATTTAAAGCTGCTTTTACAAGTGAGAGGGTTTATTGCTGAGCAAGATCAAAGTGTATGCTGCTGATGCTTGCAATCCCCAACAGCGAAGGGAACACAGATGTTGACGTGACATGAATTTTTCAGTCTTTTGTGTCATATTTTACATTCACCTTTATTAAGAGGAAAGATTGTTTCTGTCTATGCAGTAAGTCTAGTAAGGTGAAGACACACGAGTTGTTTTTAGCTTGTATTGTAATGTGTAGGAGTGGTTCTTATGTCCTGTTCTCTACTTGAAGAGGAATTGTGGAAGAGACTGACTTGGCTACCACTTGAGTACAATACAGCTTGATTCTTCTCTTTTTTAGTTTTAATTTTACACTCCAGCTGACAGGATTAATGCTGTGCAAACGATTTTCTCTACAAGATATTTGTGTGCATTCTCCCTAATTTCAGTTACTACCTCTAACTTTAGCCCTGTAGATATGCAGCCAGGTTTTAGTGTGTGGTATCTATCATTACTCATAGGTTATCTGCTAAGAATACTGTTACTAAACTGATAGTTGTGAGTTGCTTAAAGCTCTTGAGAAGCCACAGTTTTACAGCAGAAAGCAACCATTCTGGATCGTTTGCATATCAAATGCTCAACAAAACCAAAATGCTGATGCAGCCTAGGATGTAGTGGGAAAGATCAGTGTGCTTGAGTACCTTTTTACTTTTATTTTCTTGCTGACTTTGTAAAAAGGAAACTTCAATGATGACTTACCTGCTAATGGCCATAGGAGACAACAAGGTGCCTAGTTTCTTTAACAGGCTTTGTGCCCGAAAGTTTTTCTACTGAATTATGCTAAAATAGCTTCAGAAACTTGCCATTATTTAGCTAACGGGTGAGACTAACACTCCACCAGTAGATCTCAAAAACACCACATGAAAATGGAAAAAGAAAATCTTCCTACAATCTTAATGTTAGAGCAGAGTAGATCTCCTACTGCTTTTGTCCTACCGTACATTTGAGTCATATGCAGCATCTGATTTTTTTTCATGGTATGGGCATATTTTTATCAATTAAGGTTAAAAAAATGCGAGATGCTGTATTTAAGTCTTAAAATATCATGTTGGCTACTAGCAGAATGCTGCATTTGAGCAATCACCCTAATACATGTGCAGCAATATCTTCCCCTGTGATTACTGAATGGTTTCTATTTTGAGAATGTTTCATGGCTCAGCTTGAAGTGCTCTTGGGAAAGCTCAAGCAGGCGAGCTTCCAAAAAGCTAGTTTTATTCTGATGGTAAATCTGTGGAGAGGCAGTTGAAAAGACCCAGGTGTCTTACATTTTAAGAAATAGATCTTTGAAACTTTTCTCTTTTCTTGGACCATGGAATCAATGCAACTCTCACTTCTGAGACGTTCTGCTTTTTTTTTTTCCTCCTTCTGCAGCATTATGCCATCTTTTTGATCAGAAACCTTTTGTTTTAAGTGTTTGGCAGAAAGATGTAGTTGGGTATATAATAGTCATTACAGACTTAGCTGTATCTCTCACTGTTCCTGTGGGAATCCCCTTTTGTTAGAGTATGTCTGTGCTGCAGTCACAGGAACCTGAATTAGCCTCTACTGAACGCTGTGGTGCTGCAGCAATAGGATAAGTACCAGTATATAAGCCAGCTTGTTTTAGGCAAGCTCTGTTATCTCTGGCTATGCCGCAATCTCTGTGCTTCAGTTTCTTACTCTTTCCAAAGTCTGTATCTGAGGCTGGGTAAGAAAAAGTGATACAGGCTGCTGCAGTTCATTTTTCCCTTTAAAAACAAAGCAAAACAAAAAAGCCTCCAAAACCCTCAACAAAACAGCTCAACACCATATACATGTAGTCAACATTTATCATTTTGTATTGAATCTGATAGAGTAACTAGTATCACAATAGCTAATGTGGCTGACTGGATAAAAATACAGTATAATTGTTTAAACATAGCAGTGCTGTTTGAGTTGAAGAGTCACTCCCTCAATAAATGAAAGCAATTCTCTAACTACTTTTTCCTAATGGGGATGAAAGCTGGATATATTAAAACCTACACAATTATTCTTAGAATAATGACAACTTGCTATACAAGCCTCAGATTACTATATGATCTCCAGTTTGAGATGGACATGTATTTTATACAAAGTGCATGGAAATTGCAGCCTATTTCTTTCCCAGTTTTTAAGATAGGGCACCTGCAATTGTGTATATGGAGCTTCCCCACCTGCATCTGGAAGGAAATACATAGTCATTTGTACACCAAATTAGAGGTATTTGGATATACATTTTGTAAGTCTGTATTAGTGTTTCTTATTCTTTCTTAGGAACATTTACTTAACATTATTTTTTGGAGGGGGAAAAAAAGGCATTGTATATTACTGTCCTTTTATGAGATGGAAATTAACTTTTAAGTGACATAAGAAAATGCCTCTAAGAAAAGGTCATTGTTTAGATATAAAAATGTTGGTGCTTAATATGCTTAGTCTGTGTTTCCAGATTTTGTAAACATCTTTCTATTTTGCTTTTGAATTAGTTTTAAAATTCTGTATGCACATTTGGCTGTTAACTCTGCAAATTTTTAGCAACAGTATCTGGTTAGCCACAAGATGAGTATTCGTACATAATATTATGCTTTGAGCACTTGTATCGGAACAAAGCTGCTTCAGCTCACTCAAGCAGTGTAGCTCTGTACACACATAAAGGGCATGTTTTCTTTATTGTAAATTAAATGCTAACTCACAGGTCTGCAAGCTTCAAAAGGTTTTGATGTTATTGCTTAATTTTCATTACAATTATTCTTACAAATCTTTTGTGAAAGTTAGATGTAAGGCATTAAAGAATCTGAGATGGGAAAACCAAAGTATTCAATCATGTGAATTAATCTAACATTTCCAGCTTATAAAGAGGAAAATTGGATCTGCATTCTACCATGGGAGAAAAAGATTTAAAGTTTCCTGGACTTTGGATTCCTCATGAAATTGTTTTCAACATGTAGGTGTGGGGTTTTTTTTCCTACAGCTGCGCCGCATGCAGGAGATGATTGCACAAATGCAAGCCCAAATGAGGATGAAGCCTGGTGATGATTAAGATGCTTAACATCAGGTAAGACTTTTCTGACTTGTTTACTCCTTTTACATAAAATTTTCGCAATTGTTATTGTTAATGTTACTTTTACAGTACTTAAGAAAAAATTGAGTGATGTTCTGGGTAGACTAGAAAAAAGATCTGTGCGGGTGTTACCTTTCCAGCTGTTTTTAACACTTGTAAATGCTTATCTTCAGTGCCTTATTTTTTGGATCATCCGCATTTGTTTCTGTTAGCAAAAGCTGCTCAGAAAATTAATTTGATTATATATAAACAAAATTCAAGGTGTTTTGGGGTGTGTAGGCAGCTGAATTTATAGCAGTTTTTTCGAAGAACAAAAAAAATTTTAGACAAACTGGTTATGTGTGCTGAATACAGACTCCCTTGATGTCATATATGATATATAAGGTGGGATCAAAGTGAGTGAAGGAAAAAAAATTCTCATAGTAAATACTCATGCTTTCTTCAGAATGCAGCTCATCTGCCATAATTTTTCTTCTAAATACAAGAATAAAAAATAGAAGGTTATGAGAAGTCTTGTTGCTTAATACTTCAATTTAATACTCTAGTTGTGATTGCTGGTCTTCTGGAATGTAAAGCTTGAATAAAATGGATTATATTATCCCTTATGACCTTGTGGCAGCTGCCAACATTCCAAGCCTAAAATAAGGAGATTTTTTGTTGCCTTTATTTGAACCTTCAGTCTTCCTGTTTATATCAATTAAAAAAAAGTATCCTAAGGAATAAACTTATTCACTGGATTCCTATATAAGCAGATGTTGATGGGTTTACTGGTCTATGCAGTGTGACCTTTCTTTGAGTGAAGTAGGTAAGGGGGAAAAAAAGTAATTCAAACTCAGGTTTCTTACCATCACAGTTCCAAATCTTGCAGATAGAGGAGTCTTCACATCACATCTTCCAACTTCTATACTGAGATACATTTTCCCAGAGTTGGAAATCTAAACACTGAGGATAATTTTGTGGCTGACCATGCAGTGTATGCGATAGCAGTGTCTGACGTAAAACTCTCACTTCCCCAGACAGGAGTTGGTAATTATGCAGCCTGTTAAATATTTTAGTATGAACTGAAGGTCCCAAGTTTTTATGGTGACTTTGTTATCATAGGCCAAACTCTGACTGCTTCTGAAAATGTCTGTCTGATGCAGGAAACCTTATGCAGTGTAAATTATTATTACTGTTTTTTTGCAAAGGAGCTCAATTCTTTCTGTGACTTACAAATCACATTTAATCACATGGAATCCTTTAAACTGATACTCAGTAAGGAAAAAAAAACCACCTTAAATCTAACAGGATCGTCCGTAGTTGTTGGTTGCAGAGCACAGTGTGGCGAATGATACAAATATATTCAGAGCTCTTTCTTCAGTTCCTAGATACTGGATTTGCTGTGAAATCGGTATCTGAGGGCTAATAGGGTGCCGTATTCCCACTAACAGTTAGCCATTAATGGCACCAGAATTCCCTGTGTTTCACAGCTGCTGGCAATACTGGATATGGCATTTATAAAAACAAATTGGGGCATGGTTTGTCCTGGACTGAATTTGCAGCCATGGATACATAAGTAAACAGAGTTCTGAGCATGCTCATGTGCGTCCAAGTTAGATGTTATTTTGTAGACGTTTTACATTGCTAATCGGGACTACATCTTGGACCACTAAATGTGTTAAGCAGGAGAGCTTTGCAAATTTAACTAGTGTCCACATGATCTTGTTGTGATTTAGTTTGAACAAAATCTTAAGAAAGTTAGTCTGAAATATTGAATGTGAACAAATTTGAGAAGGATTTGAATGATATTTTCACGTGTGGAGGTCCTGCTGTTTCTCTGAAATCTGCTAAACTATGTTTCTGCAGTTACTGTGGAAATCATATTGTTTGACAGATTGCTTTCAGGAAACAATTTTAAACTTCTCTTGTTACTCTTGAGATACTGATTGGTAGACTTTTAGTGTAATTTGTTGGCTAATATGCATAGTCAGAACTGCAGTTGTAGTCCTGCTAAACCAGAGTGTTGCTGTGTGATCCTGTCAGTATGTGAAGTAAATCCTCACCTAGAACTTAACCTTAGGGAAGTTTCTCTCACACATGCTAACTTTACAGTTTAGGAGGAATGATGATTTCAACTTCCAGCATTCCCAACAGATGTATTTACTGTATTTTATTGAATTCACTATATCCAGAGAAACCAGGAAACTTGTAATTAACACAGTAGTTAACAGAACCAAACTGCTGACAAATTTAAATATACTTGATATCAATCTTTTGTTCTATCACAGCTTATCCTGAGCATCTCTCAGGTTCTAGTTCTATAAGAACTTTAAAGGATCAGCTCTGCTACTGAAAGCACAGTCTCTCTTCCAATTGCTCTTTTGCACCCTTATCTTTGTGCTGAGAAAAATATGTAACTTTATAGACTATGTAAAAATCAATGTTTCACTCTTTATTTTGAATAAATGCATATTTATTGGGTTTTTTTCTTCAAAAGTCCCTTAAAAATATTTTCCACTTCATAAAGCACAGATATAAAGATGTTTTCAGATATTTTGGGAAACGAGAAGTATGGGGTAAATATCTTCATAGATAAGAGCTGGAGAGTAAACAGTAGGCTAATGAAATGTGATAATATTAAAATATGTGAAATACCCACTTCTAGTTTCAGATGTATTTTGGGGTGGGGAGAAGATTGCTGAATGCTTTGGGGCTTTCTGGAAAGAGTCTGGCATTGCATAATGATTAAGAAGTGATAAACTCAAATCCTCGCCAAAAAGGCTGACAAGTCTGTATTATAAAGTGTTACACAGATGGGATGACTGGAAGGTCTGGTTTGCCTGATCCCTTTTGAATAGGGGCATCTTTAAAGGTTTTATGGAAAGAGCAAAGGGAAAATTTACTTCAAGCAGTTTCCTTTACTTTCAAGGCTAGAGTAAAAGAAGCATAAGGGGAGTGACAAAGGCAAAGACTGCACGCAAGGAATATGTTCGAAGTTTCCAAAGAGGATGGACAGATTTCTTGCTCTGGAGAAGTAGAAATCAGGAGGAGAATGAAGAGCAGCACTGGTGAGGACTGGATTAAAAGTAGGAAAGGAAGATAATTTTGGAAACAGTAGTGAGCAGTGTGCCAACTGCAGTTTTTGACAAAAGCCTGTCAGTACAGGCTTACTCTATGTGATGGTGGTGATTTAGAGCTTTTGAGAGCAGCCCTAACACAGGTGTGTTGACCTGTGCTTTTGCCTGTTTCCTCTAAACATTTCATAGCCTCGGTGTACAAACTGCACTTGGAGGTGTTTGTAGCAGTCCATGTGAAACATGGTAAAGACTTCAAGACAAGCTTGATTTTTCAGATTTTTTGCTTCTAAAATGCAAGACACTGGTATAAAGCATAGTGTTTCTTATATTTGACAGTTGAAATGAGGGATTGGAGAGGAAGGAGATGGAAGGGTAGAATAAGTTACCAAAAACTAAAACTGATTTAGTTTTATTTGGATACTCCAATACGAAATGCTTTTGAAATAAGCGTGCAGTAATTCCAACAGCATATTTAATAGTTTCGCAACTTGTCATCTCAGATGAGCAACTATTACAAAAAGCTGGAATTATTTTTTTAAATTAAATGGTTATTGATGGGCGTTTCTTCTCTTTCCTTCTCTGTTTCTGAAAGTGTAGCTCTTTGCAATCTGTTTTCCTCTTGTTATTCTTACAAATCTGGATTGTCTGTCTTCCACTCAGCTTCAAGATCATACTGGGACAAACCAGTAACAGAAGCCAGGCTATGGAAAACAAATATAGCCATCTGGAAATGTAGTTATGGTTAGGGAAGCGTATTCAGAAAAAACCCAAGCATCTTGCTCTTCAAATAACTGTAGGATGTTGAAAATTCTTTTAGTATAGCTTATGATTTCCACAAGTATTTTAAAGCTTCCTGAGCTCACTAACACTGTTCCATTTTTTTTTTTTTAAGAATGGTACTAAAGGAACCAAACAGCTAGTTCTTTCTACCAATGAATTGACATCATTTAACAGAACAACACAAAGCGTTGTCATAGCAACCAGCCTTCTAAAATGATGCTGCTGAATGCTGAATTGATCTGATGAGAAGTGTCATTTGAGGAAGTAAGGATCATGTTGTAGTTTTTGGCAGCTGAAATTGAGGGCCTAGAGAACGTGAAGCTTGGGCAAATTTGTAGCATTTAGAACAACTGCCTGGTCACTGCCAGTGGATGTTTCTTGGGCTAGAAACTAGACTAGAAGAGCACCATCATTCTCAAGCTCTTTTCAGCTCTTCTAACTGGAGTTGTTCAGCAAACCCTGTGTTGATGGGCTAGCACAAGTTTTTGTTTCCCTTGGAAAGTAGACTTCTGATAGAAATTGTCATTTTTTCCTCTGCTACTGTACAACCGCGGTGCTGGCCTTGTGTGGCTCCATAGGACCTTGAAGGTAACTTGTATAGAGAGATCTTAGCAGGGTCATGAAGAGCCACCTTGTAGCTGGTGCCCACCTGCCCTAGGGTATGATGTGCAGAGCACCAAATGACAGTCATGTTACAGCTTTCAATCCTTGATGTATAGAACAATAATGCTTTCATTTGGGTTTGTTCATCTGAAAATAATGTCTTACATCTCCTTGTTAGTCCATACTGCTCGCAGTTGGTGAAAGTCATGTTCCTTGATTGTAAGTAGAACATAATAAAAGTCAATGTTGTACTTGGATTGTGACCTTGGCTGTTCCACAGCATCTCTGTCTGTGGCGTTTGACAGAAAATAAGTTGTGCGACTCTTCCCAATAGCAAAAAAAGTAGCACTTTTTAATATTGTAGTCTTCAAAACATTGTACAGAAAAAATATGTATCATTAATATGATCAGATGTAAGTCTGAAATACTAGTCAAGCCTGTAAACCTCCTGTACCTAAATATTGTCTGTCTTCTGGCTCTTAAAGAATCTTGCTTGGATTTTTATTTGTCTACATTTTCTGTATGCAAAATTTCCAGCAGTTTGTCAGGACCTATTTCTGTAAGGAAAATTCCCTCCTAGAAATAGCAGTGTATCACTTCTAACAGTGTAGGATTTATACATCTTGAAAAGCACATTCCCATTGAGACTAATTTCCAGAACTGCTTTATAGAGGAGAGAGAAATAGTCTCCCTGCCTCCCAAAAACCAAAACACTCTCTACTTTGCAGACTTAAAAGCGTTCCAAGGAATGACACAATATTTGCAAAACATAAAATGAAAAAAAAGAAACACCCAATAGCAAGTTTTTCTGATATTTTCACATAATTGCCCAAACTGTATCTCAACAAATTTTGTCAGTAAATGGATTAATGCAAATGGGTTCAGTTTTTGCCAAGTGATCCCAGAGAGTATAAAATAGAATATAGATTTCTGAAGGAGTTGCTACAGAAATCTTGTTTTGTGGGGAGATGTCAGGGGTGAGTGGAAATGTATTTATTTGCTTTTCAGTAATGTGTAGATGCCTTAGGAAAGATCAAGTCCACAGTGCAGTGGCTACAGTGGCATTCTCAATTCTTGTGAATACATGCAGTGACACCTTGCACTCTGCCTCCAAGCGGCTTGATTACCAAGGAATGACACAACTGACATATTCCACTTTTTCCTGTATCTCAGTAACAGACTGCTGCATCCAGTACAGCTGTTGGATGCACATGGGATGCAGGAGGTGAGGGGAGGTGCTTGCTGCCAGAATTTCTCGGGCATTAGCAGGCCTGAGGAGTGGAGTGCACAGACGTGCCAGGTCCGTGCCAAAGCCTGACAGGGTATCACAGGGGACCTGTAAATGGTTCAGGCCACCTTTTGCTAAGTAAATGTTTTCTGAGGAACGTTTCTTGTAGTTCTAGAGCTTGGAGCCTTGTATGTATCTGTGACTCAGTGGGTATTAACCCTATTAGCCTATTAAATTAGCTGATAAACATTGGAAAAGCAGTTCAAGGGCCAGTTTTGTAACTTAGCATATACTTGGCTGATGACATTTGCTATGGGGAAGTATAAAGTGTTGCTACAGACAACAGCAAAAGGAAAGGGAAGAAACTTGAAGCAGTGAGGTCAACAGAGGATGACTGAAATATCAGAAACCAAAAATATTAGGGGTGTGAGTGACAAAATGAGTCAAAACTAGCTAACAACAGGACATTGGTGTCATTCAGTACTCTTTCTATTTTGAAAGATGCCATTTCTCAAAGTTCTTGCTCGTGATTGGACACTCGTAGCTACAACATAAAATGGGTGCTATTTTGAAGAAAAAGGATTTAGGTCAGTGAGAAAATGTAACTGCTTATAAAACAAATTTCCCTCATTAGGAATTCAAAAGTGTACATGGAGAGATGTCAAGTTGCACTGCCATTGTAGTGGTGTTCTTGGAAGCAGCTGAGTGGGAGGCAAACCTATTCCTTTCCGAGGCTTTCAAAACCTTTACAAGTGTAGGATTCCGAGCTGTCTGACCATGTGCAGCAGGGTACAGGCGTATGTAGTGCTAGTCACACTGCTTACTGAGCAAATTTTTTTTAATGCATACTAGAGAAATATATCCTCTTTCTCAAATAATGGTATGAATTTATATTGCAGATGGGGGCATTTATTAAAGCTATGTATTGGTAAAAGGAGTCCCGGGGACTGTAAGGTTGGTCTAATAAAACTGGAGATCAAATTTGTAAAGAACAGCATCAACCTAATGTATCATAAAATACTGTCTCATAAGGAGATTAGGATGAAAGAACAGTGAAATGAATCCACACTGAAAATGCACAAACATACTGTGCCCAAGTATGTCATACGAGCCTATAAAATGTGGGTATTGTGTTGCTAATGCTGGTAACATCAGTGCACAACTGTGCTTATAACCTGAGCCTTCATGTTTATTGGAATTACAGTCTTTTTGTGAGTCTGAAACATCAGTTATTGTTTCCTCCTGAGGTATCTTCTGTAAGATTAGAGTTAGGCAGACAATGGCAGAAACTTAGTTTCTCTCTCATACTTGAAGTAGCAGTGTAGCGCAACAGGTTAATTTTGAATTTGAATATTGAATTTAGTTAGCAATGTATGGACTCTGGCTTTAAAGCTTCAGTGCTGGTTTGCTTGTTCTGGGAAGGTAAGGCCTGCTTAAAACGTTAAGTAATTGTGTATCAAACAGAATTCCCACTGTGAGAATGGCAAAGAGCAAAGGACCCTATTGTCAGCTTTCCTCTCTCCTTATCCCAACTGTAGTCAGCAAGTGTAGTCTGGATGAGTGTTACAGGTGAGTTGACACAACTGTGTTTTCTAGGGTATTTCTTTTTTCCATCCAGATGAACATTTAGATTAAGCTATTTTTTCCTGTTGGGAATGAGCAGTTTTGGGACTGGAGAATTCGAGGTGTCTCCTGACTTCCAAATCTAACATGGCTTCTTAAGCAGGGCCCAATTTTCAGGGAAAGCTGGAATTCTGCGTTCTTCGTAGCAGCCTTTTCAAATGGCAAATAGCTACAGAGACATCCAAAACTGCTAGTTATTTTGAAGTTATAGACTGGTATCCCTTCTTTCAGCCCTATGAATACTGCTGTATGAATGCTTGGAAAAATCTGTTTGCTTTCCTGTTTTACCTGAGCACCGTCATAAATGTGTTTGTGCATGACATCAAACTTGCTGCTTGCTTTAGATAAGTAGTTTTTGTTTTCCAGAAGCAATGCTTCACGTAACAGGCTGACTGAGGTTGGTTTCTTGTGTGCGTTATTGTTGACATGAGCTGTAGTGCAGTTTTCATATTCTTGCAGAGGGGCATATGGGTGCTTTAGAAAGTATGTAACGAAAAATAGGTTCTCATTTATGTGATCTTACTAGATGTTTGTGATAAATATTTGGGGCCAAACTGTGTCTGACTCAGCTGATCTAGTTTTAATGCAGGTCCCTGTGATGCAGTAACTGAAATGCCCTGTTGCCTGGATTGCGCTGCTTTGCTTGGAGGGGTTTTGCACTGCCCCAAATGCTCTGACAGTGCTGAGAGTTTGTCCTTTCTAATGCTCTTTGTTTTCCACTTCTGTTCGCAGCAGTATACAGATCTCTAAGTGGATGGGTGCTCTGTTTTCTTTGACCGAATGGTAACGTTCAAATACAAAAGCTGGATGCCGCAGATCAAGACCTGCGTTAAAACAAACACAAAGTCTGAAGATCGTGTTGTAAAACGGCTTGTTTTATATATTCAATGTTAATCAAGTTATATTGTATCTTTTTTGATTCTTTTGGTAACACTGTCTTCATACTTCTAAATGTGGTTTTATTATCCTTCCTATACCCTTTTTATACCAAAACTGATAGAATACACCATTTGGAGTAGTCATTGTGGTGGTTTAAGGAGTTAATTGTGTATCTGGTAGGTTATTCTGAACAGTGTTGTGATTAATACTAAAAGACTTTGTGGCCTGTTTACAGTAAACGTATGTGTGTTTGCACAGTATCGTAACTTTCACTTGCCATTTTAAGTCATTGTGTATCGCATCAGTTTTTCATAACTTTCTCTATGCTTTTGTTACTTTTGAAGCTTCGTCTCTGGTGATTTATATTTGTGTGATGTATGAGAAAATGTACAAAACACTTGATGATTCACCAGTGGTGCAAAGAAGCTGACTTTTCTAAATCATCGTGCCTTAACATACCATAAACACTACACATGCCAACAACTTCTGTGAATGCCTCTGAAGATTTGTCTTCAGGTCTCAAGTATCGATTACAAGAATTGCTGTCACAGGCATTTTTATCTGTCGGCTGAGCGATGGCATGTGCTGAACTTTTTATATACCATAACACTAATTTTCATTGAAGTTTTGTAATAAATTTTAGCAATTGGAAAATGTTGAATTTTGAAGTGGTTTTTGTTGTTTTTTGGATTTTGGCTTTTTCAAGCTAATCTATAAAATGTTGTAATGGCATCATGCACAGTGCATCATCAAAGGAATTGTGATATTTACCCTGGGGAATGAAGGCGTTTTCTAGAATGTGTCTCCATACAAACTGCTTTGATATCATTTCAAAACAACTCATAAGAGTGTTTTGACTGGAAGTGAAGTAGCAAGACTTTGCATCCACATTTTTTTCCTGAAGTTCATTAGGCACTTACTGACATCTTTTAGGTGGGTAAATACCTTGGAAAATCTTAGCTTATAAACCTTAGTTTATAAATTCATGAATGTTGCTGTTTCCTTTATGTCATTACTGAGCGTATAGCTCTCTTCTGCATGCTTTTGTAGATAAAGATAAGCGTAAATTATTTTGCAAATATGGGATTGAGACACTTTGTCTTCTGTACTAAATTGGGGTGTCTTTCATGTAATGATGAGCCCTAATTTTGCTGTCTAGCAATGAGTGTTTAATGAGGATAGGATTAAGAAACAATTTGCATCACAGGGATGCATGTGTTTGGAGGGTTGTGTTTGGAGTTGAACTGTATAAAATGGATATTACATTGTTATCTCAGTGGCTGCTATAATGAATTTGAAAGAAGAAATGGGAGGGAACAGTTTTGTGTTCATACAAAGTCTTTTCAGGTTTTATGAAGACTTGAATTGTAAGCATGTCTGTCAAGGGGGCCAAGGTGAAAGATTTAATGGTAAACATTTTCTCGTGAATTGTGTGCCATTGTGTGCACCTTTCTTGTTGTTTTTCTTCCAGGATTTTCCATTGTATTTTACAACCTTCTTAAAAATCATATGCTGTCCATTTGTGCTTGTGAAAGTCAGGACAGCCACACCACTCCTGAGAAAGCAAGACTTTCACTACATACTGGATTAGCTCTCTGAACAAAGGTAACATGAAAGGTTCATCTTTCAAAGCAAATTAGGACAATGGGGAAGCAGGCTTTCAAAAGCATCTAGTTTTTGATTTTATTAAAAATGGAGCTTCCCCCCTCCCTTTTCAAAGCAAAGCACTTAAAGTCACTGTCACAGTTCTCGTGCGTGAAGCCCAGTGAACAGACTTTCACTAGCGGATACTTATTATTGATCGATAGACTCTGCCTCCTTTTGCTTTGTGAATTCCAACTGGAATGTTTTCACTCAGAACCTGAGATCCACTTGAACAATAGTCCAAGAAGGGCTTGCAGTACTGCTCATAGCATACCTGAGTGCCTTCCTTTCAACGTAAGGAAATTTTTAATTTTTATGCCTTCTCCCATTTCTTTGATGTTGTCTGCTTACATCTGAAATTGATTTTGTTAATATTTCACAGTTTAATGGGGGAAACATATATTTGTTAAGCCAAGTCTTTGCTACTGTGAAGATCTCTGGGGAGCGGATTCTGACCAGAGCCTGATTTCTGACCTTGCATTGCCACTGCTGTCTCTGTTGGCAGTGCCATGGCCATGGAAGACAAATCCCTTTTTCTGAATTCTGCCCCAGCTGTCTCTGGGCTGACACTGTCCCAGTGCTGGAGAAAGTGCCCACATGTAACTATGTTAATGACTGTTCAAAGTGCAGCAGGATCAAGTAGCGAGTGCCTGTAGTCCTTTTGGTCTTCATTAGATGTAAAACACTGTAGCAGACGATAAAACAACTCATGAAAGGTTGATTGGCTTGTTGGTGCCTTTAATTGTGGTGTAAAGTCTGTAATGGTCAGTGGCACTCTAGCTGTTAACTCTCAGCATATTTGCTTGGTTTTTGTCTGGGTTTGTTTTTTTTTTTTGATGCGTTGAATCAATGGCTAAAAGTGAACTCATGATGAGTTAATGGGTTTTTTAAATATACATGCTTGGGATTGCCAAACTCTGGTCTTGGATGTGTCTCTTTTTGTTTTGACGTGAGGGATAATTTGAATGAGAAGGTAGAACAAAAGGCAAGATAAATGCTGTGATGACTACAAGGACATGAAAAGTTAGTACTGTGCCATCAGTGTCAGGTTTTTGTTCTGAAGTAGGGGAGTGTCCTTGTACTTCTGCAGCCATCACCATGCCAAGCTTATCCTGTCCTGTATTCAGGAGAGTTCTGAGTCTGATTATTCACATGTCCTTGAAACGTGGAAGATGTGACACTCTCTCTGGCTGTGGAAATTGGGGGAAGGAGCTGAGTGTCCTGAGGCTTTGCATCCCCCTCTCCTTGCTCCTTTACTGTTGAGTTGAAGTTTCTATGAGCTGTTCTTAAATCATGTGCTAGTGCTGCTTTTGGCGTGTTTAAAATTCATTCGAGCTCTCTGCTGCCTTTCCTTAAAAAGTTGTACTGACAGCTTTTACCTAAAATGACTTTCCGTATCACCTCTTTAAAGCGGTTTAATGGGAACAGAGCACACATGCCTACTTTGCGCAGTATGGGTACTGTATGATTCAGGCCTTCCCACTGTATTTTGAGATGCTAAATCTGGGAACGCATTTCCTATTTATTCCATTTGTGTTTAGTTTTGTTAGT